CACCATAAGATTGCTCTGATGTAAGCGCTGCGTCCTGTAGCAGATATGTCTGGCTCATGACCCTGTATTACACACTCAGCTGTGTTCAGCGTTGGATCCTCTATTTTTGGACTCACGGCCAGATCTTGAAGCTGTCAAAAAACCAAAGCTCTAAAATTAATGTCCGTTAAATCTTTGAAAGAAATTCGACAGAGTGGAGAAGGAACTCTAATCTGACAATTTCGCGGTGACCTGTCATTGGGGGGGGGTCTCCTGTGAACAGAAGCCAGACTCTTTCTGGCTATGTATTTACAGAAGAACTCCGTAATACGGTCACTAACGGACCATAAAAAAATTTGGCCCTATTAACGGGGTGGCTGTATTAACGGTGTAGGGTCACATCTCATGACTGGGTCCAAAGCGACGTCTTAACAAATTTATCATAACTGCAGATCTAATTAAAATAACTATTCTTTGATAAGACTCTTTCTGGCTATGTGTGTACAGTAGAACCCCGTTAATACGGTCACCAACGGGCCATAAAAATTTGGCCGTATTAACGGGGTGGGGTCAAATCTCATGACTGGGTCCAATTTGAGTGACATCTTAACAAATATATCATAATTGCAAATCTAAGCAACAACTATTCCTTTATAAGCATCCGGAATGCAGATATAATTTTAAAAAATGACATTTCAATCAGTACGGACAATATGGGTACAATGTTAAAGATGGAAAGACGAACATACACTCGGGGTCACTCGTGATCAGTCGTGATCATTCATGATCATTCGTGGTCATTCGTGGTCACTCGTGGTCATTCGTGGTCATTCGTGGTCACTCGTGAGTACTTTTAGACCCTTTACCAAATTGACGTCAGCTTTTTTATGATAAATTGCGTCATAACATTGTCAAAGTGGCTGTGTGACCACGAGCCGCAAAGATAAGTGAATTTTATTCAAAATGACGCGAGCATCGTCAATAGCTTTTCTCGCCTTTTGATTGGCTACTTAAAAAAGTCCATAAAATCTCATTGGTTAAAAAGTTGACAGTTTGACAGCTGAAAGTTGAACTTGAAAGCTTGCATAAATTGAAATTTTGTCCGTCTGTACTCTTATTGATGATAAAAATACGCCAATCAGCGCGCGAGAAATTAGACAGTTATTGTAAAAATCGTTATCGAAGGGCGCAGTAATGATTTGACCGTAAAAGACTTGAAAATAATTATAACTTCAAGTAGAGATATAAATTAACGGTACTTATAGCTTACCTCAGCCAGTACTCTGTCGATCATTATAAAGCGGTCATCTTCAGAGACATTAGAACAGAACGGTGCAATTGTGATATTTAATTCTCGCTTTCGAGATGTGACTAGGATCGAACCAAGAGACAATAACTCAAGAACCTCGGCAGGGAAAGCAGCGTATAGACACGACATGCTCCATGTGTACGGAACTGGTGAGGATTTTCCCGTTTGGTTGAATGTATGCAAATTGACATGAACAAGAACAGATGAAGGCTTCCTTGCAGGGTACAGAGCTAGAGCAATGTTGAAGTAGTTCTTCGGCGATGCCAAGGCACTGTAGACATCTGCGTAGGTTTCAATACAAGCGGTATAATTTACGCATTCTTTGAGCACATTGGCTTTGGTGTGCTGAGCAAAATTCGTCACCATGACTTGGATCAGCAAAAGCAGAAAGAAGAACTTCTGTAAAGTGGCCAGGAACATTATGGAGGTCTTCACCACAGTTCTGTTTTAAGAAAGCAGATAAAGATTTCGTCTCTTGCTGTTGAATTATTAACTTTACCTTCAGCTTGGCAACATATGCGTCCAGGGTGAGAGGTACTCCTTTATATTGGCTATATAGGTATGTGTGGTCCCAAAGGGTATGGTTTTTCGGTCATTTTGGTCATAGATAGGGTGTCGATTTTGGCTATTTTGGTCATCAATAGGGTATTGTTTTGGCACTCCTAGTCTTGAACTCGGTATGTTTTTTAGAAGAAGCTACTTTTTAGAGTCATAAATAGGGTAGGGAAAATCGCAGATTTTGGTCATAAATAGAGTCATAAATAAGGGTTTTGGGAAGCGATCCGCATACCCCCACCCAATTATTTTTCTGGGGGTACCCCCACCTCGGGCACATGTGTAACATACTACATGTAATTTCAAGCAAAAATAAATGATTTTTTTTTGGTGGGGGNGGGGGGGGACTTAAGAGAGAAAAAGGGTGTTCAAAAGAAACAAGATAGAACTAGTCTAGTGTGGCCCGGGTAGAGTGACGTCAATTTTCAGTCATGACTCGATCAGGTAGAGCTTGGGCTCGCAGATGTTCTTTGAGTTCATCAAGCAAATTTCTTGCCCGACGTGCGCGACGAACGTTCCCGAAGGAGGAAATATTGCGTGACGAGCCCTAAATTGAGAGCGTCTGCATGGGAGGCTACTACGCAAACAATATCTAAAGTACTTCCGGAAAGATGTCATTATTAAAGTTCAGCCGCGTGAAAAAATTCACTCGCTCAAGAGAGCGCGACAGTTTCATAAATAATACGACTTGAAACTCAATACATGTACATGCAACCTCGTAACAGAGGGGCACGGCGATTTTCTAAAAGGAAATTCAATTTCCTTGACTCTTAAATTGTTCTCGGTAGTTTTAAGCATAACTACAACGACTTGTTATGGCTGCTGCTTTACTTGTACGTTTTCATTAAAATTGCGCGACTCAGAAGGTTGCCATGATGTGTTGTATTGCCAAGGTGCAATTTACCTTGCTTGTTACTCTCAGAACGATCAACATTTCAGAGCGTTGGTGTCAGACAAACGCATTCGACGACGAACAGCCGTTTTGAGTCACTGACTGCAATCGGTAGTCAAATAATTCCCTCTTTGGTGCGTAGTAAAGAAAGTTTATCAACAACGTCAAGTAATCAATGCTAAAACGAGAGTTTTTCAACTTAAAACAGGGACTGAAAGAACATCAACTCCCGGTTTTCGCCCGGGATTTCGCCCGCGGCTCAAAAACGTCCTTACTTTACTGCGCTGCCGTGAACTGAAACGCAACGGAAGTAATTCTTGTGTCTGCTTATACAGACCCTCTCTTTGAAACCCGAAAACTGTGAATTAAAAACAATCTCTTACCTGACTATAAATACCTAAATCAAAGGGGAATGTAGCTGTATGTGATTGCGGGGCCAGAATTCGACACAACGGAAGCTACCGTATGGAGTCGGCCTCACAGGCATCCCAAAGTTCAGTAAAGCACAGGTAGCCCATAAATGAACCTGTGGTTCCTAGGGCCTACGGGGTGCTTACCATTTGGCAAAAATATTCGCAAATTTCGGTTGTAAGTCAAATGGAACAGTAATTTTGCGGAAAATCCGTTCGGAAATTGTAGACTACTTCCAGAGATAGTCCTCTTTTTCCGTTCGGAACGGAAGGGCGGAAATTTTCTTACCATTTGCTAAACTTTCCAGTTTCCAGTCTCCCGTCAGTCGAAAACAATTACGGGAAATCGAGTTGCAAATGGTAAGCGCCATCTCGCTTACCATTCATTTCTTCGTCACGTGATAGAGTTTTTATTTACAGCTTCCGGCTACTGTTGCAGATCACGCATCTCATTTATTAGTGCTGTTTAGGCTCGATTTCCGCCGCTTTCTCGAGTCCGGTCTACGTTCCTCCCCAAGAAGAGACGGCTGGACGCGTGAGCGGCAAAGCATGTCTGTGACGTAAATTCATAATTTAATTCTTGCGGCGCTTCAGGTGGCCGGAAATGTCATCTGA